CGCTGCCATCCCGGGGTTGGGGGGATAGGAGGAGGGGTGAGAGGTTAGGTGAGGTTGTGGTACGTGAGGTGACTGGGGGGAGGGTGATGGGGGGTGGTCCCCGGGCTCCGCCTCTCGCCGCCGCCGCCGTCTGCGTCCCGGCTGCCGCGCACTTGGCGCAAACTTACCGCGAGCGCCCGCAAAGCCACCCGCGCAGGCGCCCCGGGATCGCCGCTCGCCGCGCGCAATCGCAGTGACAGCCGGCGGCCGGGCTCCCGCGCAGCCGCGATAAGGGGGAACCCCCCAGCGCGCAGCCGCGCTGGCATTCGTCTGGAGTTGCGAAGCCCCGCCTTCCTGCCCTGCGCCAGCGTACTAAGGCAAAAGGGCGGGACCTGAGGTCTTGCGCAGGCGTCTAAGCGTGCTCGCAAGGGTCACAGCGCAGCCGCAGGAATCTGGGGACGCCTTATCCATTGGTGTTTGTGTACAGCCCAAAAGCGCTCTGCTCCCGCGCAGGCGTATTAGCGGTGCCTCCCCTCCCGCCCCACAATAACAACAGCTGCCTCCCGCGCAGGCGTATTGTCACTTGCTGGACCTCACAAAAATGCTTCTCCTTTCGCCATTTTGGTGGTGGGATATAGGCTACCGTGCCCTTGGTCTTGAAGCATGAGCAGGAAAAAGCAAGTGTAGTGTTGACTAGAGTTGGTAGTCTGTCGGTGACAGCAGTATTCTTAGGGATGGTGTACTGGACTGTGGTTTCAGCATCAGGTGTGACTGGACCAGGCCGCCATATTGGTAAAGAGAAAAGAAAGGCCATTGCTATGAAAACGCTTTTGGTAGCGTGTTGGGTGGCTGCGGCTCCCAGTTCCCTTCCCGCTTCCAACAGTTAATTTTAGCCCAAGTATCCCTGCCTTGCGTGGTGAAAACAACATGGAAAGTTCTGTCTGCTCGTTACTACCCTCTCTTGAACTATGTCCCTGAAAACTCCTATTTAAAAGGAAGCCCAAAGTGAGAGAGCTTCTAATACCGACAACGCCCAACTACCTGCCAAGCGCGGACTTCCATTCCCAGTTTGCAATGCGCAAGGGAGCGCATTGCACCCTGGAAGTAAGAATCGCGATAGGTCTCATGGACTGTGGGATTCGTAGTTCCTTGTGATTGCGATGCACACTACAATGGGATGGACTCATGGAAGAGTGATTTGCCTGCCGGGAAGGGATACTTACGAATGCTGGAGTATTGCATGATGGGGTTTGTAGTGTGAGGGCCTCACCTCGAATTCTGGGCGGGACTTGATGTTCCACTCCAAGGCGCCCGCCCCTCCCTTTGACATCGTTGATAGAGATTGCCTTTTATCTCAGCCTTTCTGTGGATGAAGCCGTGGAGAAGGGAACCACGTCATTGTGCCTTACATTAAGCATTTAGTTGGCATTGTTGCCAGGTACACATCTTTCATATTAAGGCACAATTAGCATTGGAAAAATCATGTAATGGGAAGACCATCTGATTTAACCTTGTCATTTCCAGATATTCAGAGAGGAGCAATGACTTGCTTTGTGTCACATAGCAAATTTATGTCAGATTTAGGAATGAAACAGATTTCTTGAATCCCAGGCCAGGATACTGTTCTCTACATCTTGATAACTGCTTCTAACTAGTTGCTGCTCTTTCTTTTGCCATAGTAACTAGGTTAGTAAGCTAGGGAGAGGATGCCAGTGTGTGCAGTTCTTGTTGTATGTGCAGTCCTTCCTGTTGTTACTTGCTGTCGAGTCGATTCTGACTCAGCGAACCACGATAAGGTTTTCAATGAGCGGCTGGTGAGCTTGAACCATCATCCTTGCGGTTCAAACCAACTTTGCAGTCCAGCGCATTAACCACAGCGCCACACCTGGGCGCCTCTTGGTACTTAGGGAGGGAGATAAGGTTGCGTATGGGGTGTGTGTCATGTAAATTGATTCTTTGCCCTCTACTAGTTTCAGCTTTACAAGAAACATGTATGTTTATGGGTCCAGAGATATGGTCCTCAGAAAAGGGAGGGCTGAGCTAGAAGTGCCCATACAGCCATTGCTCTTGGTGTTGTAGTCATGCAATATTGGATTATCCAGTAAGCAAGGTAAGCATGGGCTTACTTGTGTTTACTTAATAATCTGTAGTAAACAATTTCACATTTTCCCACTGTATTCAAGATTCTGCTTCTAGGTATGCCTGGCATCTCTCTCCTAACGCCACAGCACCTGCCTACAGAACAAAGCTACTTTTCAATTTTCCAATCCTTGGTAGGGATAGAGTACCCAGTAAGCAAGGTAAGCATGGGCTTACTTGTGTTTTCTTACTAATCTGTAATGAACTGTTTCACCTGTTCGTCACCACATAAAGGTCTTGTGAAACTTATGTGAAGTTGTTTACGACAGATTGGTAAGTAAGGCCAAGTAAGCCTATGCTTACTTTGCTTATTGGGTAATCTATTCCTGACTTCATGCACAGGCTCTCTTACACTGGGACGTCAATCCAGTTCCAAGTCATAGTGACCATGTATGGGGTTTCTGAGGAGCAACTGACAATCTTGAAGTTGAAACAAACGTTGTGGTCCAGTGTATTATCCTGCAGCACCACACCAGGACTCCAAGAATATCTTTTTGTACATGCCAAATGAGCAAGACTTTGTTTTGATCAACACTAACAGTTGTAGCTGAAAACAGGAACAGGAGGAGGGCTAATGAGGGAAATAAGACTTGGCTCTGGTGACAAGCGCCAGGGAACTAATCACTCCATACACCTACCTCTGGAGACTTGGAGGATGAGAACGGCCTGTGTCAGGAGTTGGTGCCACCTTGAAGAGCTCCAACTCTGGCTGTTCAAGGTGGATTGAGGAGATTGAGTAGATGGGTTACCGATGTCTTCTGAAGTGCCCTCTTGTGGTTGTCCCGGGCACTGCACTCTGCATGGACTGGACCTTTTGTAGTCTTCAAAGGAGCTCTGGTAGCCTAGTGGTTACAAATCGGGCTGCGAACCGCAATGTCAGCAGTTCGAAACTACCAGCTGTTCCGCGGGAGAAAGATGAGGCTTTCTGCTCCCGTAAAGATTTACACCCTCGGAAACCCTGTACAGGGTCGCTATG